ATACTTTTCTAAATATTTTAATTAATAATAATTTTTCACTGAATTTTTCTACTCTCTTAATAAAATATTATCGAAATATTAATGAAATTATAATGAAATTTTAATGAAATTGGGTCAAAATTGTGAATGCTTTTCAAACATATTTCAGCAAAAGTTCATTATATTTTCAATGAATTATTTCCATCAGATACAAATATCTCAATTGAGATCTTACATGCGAAATTTTGCGGAAACCTCAACTGAGAATTCAATTGAGAATTTAATTGAGAATTCAATTGGGAATTCAATTGTGATCTCAATAGAAATTTTTCAGTAGGGTAGGCATAACAAGCGCAAGCTTTGCACACAAGAATTGTTATCTGGATAGCGTATTGATAATTGCAATCGTTAATAATATCGACTTCATCAATGGAGCAGATAAAACTTACGTCGAACTGCAGCTTTTGTAGCACAGTAAAGTGTTCCATATTTTTTGCCAAATAATGCTGCTAGCGATGAAACTGCTACAATGTGACCATGATTCTTTTCGATCATGCTTGGTAGGAATGCTTTCATCGTCTAGAAATAATAATCCATTATGAATACTGCTTTATTTATTATATATCATTTGTCTTTTGCCTTTAGTAAATGCAATAATTAAAAACAATGCTGTTGCCGTGCGTGATATAAATAAAATAAGTAATCTTAGTATGTAATATAATATTAATATTATATAATATGGAATATAATATTAACATTAATATTATATTTCAGATAGCATAGGACGTCCTATGGACGTCCATTTTATGTCCATTTTACGCCCACATGGACATACATCCAGACGTTCATAAGATATCCGGTTTTGGACATTCGTTAATGTCCATATTTTGAATGTCTATAAGATATCGATTTTGGACATAAATAAGGGGACATTCTACTTTCTCATCTTAAGGGGACATTCTACTTTCTTATCAAAAAATTTTACTAATTTTCAGGAATTTCTTTTATGGGAAAATAATAACACAGCAATTTGAAACTTTTATATTATATTGTAGTATCTTCAAATTATAAAAATAAATTTTTTAAATGTTTTTTGAAGTTTATTAATACGAGTTTTCCTCGATTGCAGCAGCGCCTCTAAAAACTGCATGCTCGCTGGCGGATGTGATTGCGATCAGAATAATCTAAAAAAAATACAAAAGAAATCTTAATTTGCATATGAACTGCTATTGCATGAATCATGGAGAAAGAGTTTGCATGAAAAAATTCAAAATAGCGGACTTTCAAACATTAGACTAAAAAAAATGGCATTTTATTGCATCTTTTTATGATGAAAAAAATGGGAAAATATTGATTAATTAACACGCCCGTGGTTCATGCAATAGCCACAAGCATGTAAAATAATATGTTAAAATTTCAGACTGATTGATCAAATAGTTTTTTTGTAATCGTGTCCGCCAAGTCAAGAAAAGTGATTTTGAGAAAAATGTATTTAAAGTTTTTCATATCGAACTTTTGTATATAAAAGCTACTTACGCCTAATCAGCTATGCCTGCTACATACAAAATGTCTTCATATTCCTCGTAGGCTTTGGTCTCAAAGACTCTTTCTTCTCTGCGAGCTATTTTGCTTTTCTTAGTGACATCGGTGGTGCGACGGTTGGTTTGCGCGATGCGCTGGCCGTCCTACTTGCACGCAAGTTGAACGGCTGCGGGTTCAATTGTAACTCTCATGATTTCCATTATTTTCAAGAGAGTGCAAAAGCCTTTATTGAAGACATATGTAGACGTATATGCAGCAATTTGCAGTATTTTTCAACCAGTAAAAATATGTTTAGAAACTAAACGCCACACGCACGCGTTGAAGCTTTCGTTGTTGTTTCCCGTGTTGTTTCTTAAACGCCGTCCCAAAAGTTCGTCTGCCGTTAATACAACAAACGACTGAGACCAGATATAATACAAATGCGCCGAGAGAGGGGAACGGCGCACTTCTATTTGCCAGAGGTGGGTCGGCTCTCAGGCCTATAACTTTACAAATATTGAGAATTTCTCGCTAAAAATCTCGATCTTTTAAGGTTAGAGTAAGTGTCCCTATTAATATGTCTTTAAGCCAACTTACTCATTATTGAATGAATTATTAAATACTGTAGCTTTAAATTGGTCTACTCGAAATCAATATCAGTTTTTAAACTATTTCTTGTTATTATAAAATTTTGTTTAAGTAAAAAATATAAATATTTTATAATGTTTTAATCGAAATAAAAAAATATGTTTTTGTCCCTATTAATGTACCCCTCCAAAGGATGATGACTATATTAATGTGCCTCCAATTTGTGTGCCTGTCCGTATATGTGTGCCCCCGATTAGTGTGCCTGTCCGTATATGTGCCCCCGATTAGTGTGCCTGTCCGTATTTATTAGCCTCCGATTAATAGGTTTGCCTTAAGCAGGTTAAAGTTCCGAACAGTTTTTGTCAAAATATATTGGTTTTATAATTATATAATTATATAATTTTGTGGATGTTTAAATAAATTACATAAAATGTTAGTTACAAATTATGTAAAAAAATGAATATAATTAAGTACAAAATTAATAGTAAATTAATTTGCACTTTTCAATAAATTATATTGTATTACAAAAATTTATTTTCACAAAAATTTATAAATTATTTTATAATATATTATATTCGAACATAAAACTAAAATCATAAACATATTTGCAAATTATTTTATAATATATTATATTTGAAAATAAAACAAGAATAAAATTTTTATTTAAACTTTTTCTTTGGGTTTGTTTATTTTTGTTTTTTTGATTGCTTCTTTAATTGACTTTTCTTTTCTGCTTCTTCTTTTTTAATTAGAATTTTTTCGGCTTTTATTCTTTTTTTAAATTCTTTCTCCTCTACAATTTTCCTTTCTTTTTCTTTTTGTTCACTGTACCACTTAAAACCTTCTTCAGATGACAGTACGGATGGCATTTTTACTTTGGATGCTCGCTTCTTCTTTGTAGAAGTACTTTCTTTTGGCCAGAATATAAATTTCTTAAATTGAGAAGGTATTTTCGAATCGAAGATTTGTGAAAAAGTATTTTGGGTTGCTTCATTATTTTGATTATCATTTCTTATTCCATTGCAATTTTCAGTATATACTTATTATTTCATTGTATTTTTCAGTATTTTCAGTAATTTTCAGTTATTCTAATACTGACTCTAAATCCTTGCTCGTGATTTTTTCATTATTGATGTAAATGTTAGGACTTTGATTCTCATCTTGATTATTGTTATGAGTATTACAGTTATTTGAATCATCAAGAAGTGGATGTTGCGATAAATGTGAAGACTCAAGAAGATTAACCGAAATTATAGAAAGCTCCTTTGAATAACTAACAGTAAGATTTGAAAAAGGCAAGGATAAGGAGCAAGCACGGATGTCTTAGTGCTATTAAATACTAATATTATTTTTTAATATTAATATGATAGTGGGAGGATAAAAATGTCCAGCATGTCAAACGCATGTATCGAATTTTTCTTCGATTATCGTACGTGGCGAATCAACCTTTTATACTTAGACCGATCCTTGAGTCCCAATTTTTATATATATATATATTTTTTTTTTTTAAATTCCCAAACCCCATTAAACCGATGACTCAAATAGATTCATTATATATGCTGCGAAAATCTGCCTCCGCCAGGACTCGAACCTGGGACCTCCCCACTTTCCGGGCGGAACGCCTTTCCATTCGGCCACCGAGGCTTCGACAGTAATCTCGCAACACAATGTTTATAAATTCTCTAAGATGTAAGTTGAGAGAAAGAAAGAAAGAGTCGAACTCGTAAGACATGTTGGACATTTTTATCCTCCCACTATCATATTAATATTAAAAAGTAATATTAGTATTTAATGGTACTAAGACATCCGTGCTTGCTCCTTATATGCCTTTTTCAAATCTTACTGTTCAAGAAGATTAACATTTCCGTTATCATCCACGTAGAAAGTACAGATAATATTAGAATTTACTTTGTGTTCATTATTATTTTGCAAAGCAATCGCTTGCAAGAAAACTTATTTATTAGTAAATAATACTTCTAAAGTTATCATGTTTTACACGTATATAACATA